TCTTCTAAACTCTCTGGAACATAACTCTTTTCTGGTTGAAAGAGTTACACAGATTTGCTGTCTTGTATCATTAAACTGAATCTATCTTGATCGTTGAGAATTTTCTCTGGTTAAGTGATTGGAATTGAATACACGGGGCAAAAGTTGGAGAAAGCAAAAACTATTTTTTATTGAATTGCATTTAGCTTCATGATTACCTTTTATATAGGAAAATTTGCCGAGTTTTCCTTGATGATGTTTATGCTATTCATTTGAACAATATTATGTTGAAAATTCATAAATAAACTCATTCAATTATTGAAATGAAAATGTTTTCATTACCTGAAACCAAAAATTGATTCATTCCAAATAAAACATTTTCACTTGTTAATGAATTTGGTCTCTTTGAAGGCTGAATAATTATTTAATTTTTAGTTAATGAAGTTTTTATTCGGATCAAGAAGACATTGTTTATATTTGAAAACAAAACAACTATTTATTTGATGTGAATATAAATTCAAATAAAAATCACATTCGGGGTTAAGTAAAAGTTTTACGACTAGCTATTTGCGTAAACCCATTTATTTGATCCGAATAAAGCATTTCTCTGGGTGTAGAACTGCGTTGTTTTATTCTTCATTCAGAGAAAGGGTAAAATACTATCAAAAAGGCGTGGATTTTCCCTCAATGCTCTTTCTCCGCCCACATGTCTACGACTCAAATTCTGATAAAACTTTTCTGGAGAAACTTTTCTCACTAAGATCAATAAATACCCTTCCATTTCGAGTAAAATTTACGAGAAATCTGGTAAAAAAAGTGACATCTCACACTTCTCAAGTTTGAAATAAAGTTTTAGTCTTTTCGCTACTAGAGTGTGCTCCACAAAAAATTTCAAATCGATTTTTCGTAAAAATTGTTAAATTCAAGCGAGAAAAAACAGTTGTTAAAATTATTTGTTTCCATCACAGAGAAAAAATTTTGTCTTCAGGGATTTATGGCATTCTAAAATTTAATGAGTGATAAATCTTATAATCAAGTGATTTTGTCACTAATTTCCAGTGTCATACTGCTACATCTCAGGAATTTTATTTTCAAATTCTAGTCATTGAACCCTCAAAGTCCAGGATAATTCCAGTCATTGTCAAGAATTAAAAAAAATAGGGACAGACATCTCTAGAAATTGAGGATAGCTTTCTAAGAATTAAGGATTTTTTTTTATTTTATCAGAAGAATTAAGGATATATCCCTAAAAATTGAAACTTCTTTCAGAAATGCGCCTGAACCGCGTTTGCAGTCATCACATAGAGAACAAATTTTTTATTTTGTGACCAAAGTTAAAAACCATGTGACTCAAATTAGTGACTATGTCCCTAAAAATTAATAACGATATGAATGGAAATAAGTGATAATGCCAATGATAAAATCACTGAATTCCACAATTGCTTGTGTTGAATAGCATTGTTATTCAATTTATTGCAAAGATTGAGAGTATTTAATTTAAGAAACTCGTCATTGAACGGTAGGCCTAACCATTACCCTCGTATTCTTTCCCATTTGACTGGTGTAGGGTTTATTTGTTTAGGGAATTTAGAAAAGTACCGTTTTAGGCGATTTCCACAACTAATTTTTTTGTTCTCCAAAACGATCGCACTTCCTATCTGCGCAGAGATGTGTTGCACAACCGGAATGTTTCCAATAATTCATACCCCGAGAAATTAATTAGAGTTCATTGACTCATACCATTGCCTTCACTCCACCACAAATGACGTATACTATCAACAGAGGAATTTCCACCCATCTGGCACGATCCAACGGATTGACCGCGACTTGAGGTGCAACGGAGCCGATGTATCACGTGCACTGGCACGTGCCGGAAATCCTTCAGTGTATTCCCCAGCCAGGAAATGCAGACGTCCTTCGTCCACCCGTATTGCTTTCTACCACCAGTGATCTCAGAGTTCATTGTCTTTGCTGTCAATTCTCCGCGAAAATCAGTGTCCCCAATGTTTTTTTGAAATTCCATCATCTGCACCAGTTGGTGACTCAATCCAGCCCTGAATATCCATCGACTTTCATTGATATCCCATCACCGCTCTCTTCGCAATCTGCCTTTCCCCCTGCTCCTCCTCGATTTCACTCCTCTCAATGCAGATACGAAAATCATATACACCGGTTTATTCATTCGCCGAGCGTTGGCATCACTACGTAAAAACCTATAAGCTCTCTCGCGTGCCTCAACAATGCCAGAGATCACGTATCGTTGAATATGAATACCGATACGAGAGTATCAGCCGTGGGCCAACACAAGGATCACCATGAATAAACCTCTTTAAGCAATTTTTATACTAGAGGAGGGAAATATCTTGATCCTGAATAAAAAAGCTCTGTCATTAATTAGGGGAAGAAACCACAGCGCGGAGAAAAAAGTTTTGTAAGGTTTTCCTTCACGGAGAGAAAAGTTGAATTAAAATTATCTAGAAAATCTCGACAAATACGATCACACGAAAGTAATCGGGGATCAAAATGTAATTCAATGAAAAATACTTTTGCGCATGTGTCGAGGCGAAAATTACAGTTTTGTGTGCGGTAAAATTTGTGAAGTGGCGGATTTCATTGATTTCCAATGAGACGAGTCATTCACGGAAGAAAATATACTTGATTCAAGTATATTTTGTACTCGAATAGGGGATGGGTGTTTGTACCAAGCGCTCTCAAGTGTAATGTAAGGGTCAGACACTAAGTGTGAGAATATAAGGGTCAAAAAGTGGAGGTTAAAAAATGAGGGTCGGAATATTAGAGTCAAAAACTGAGGGCCTGAATGTAAAGGTGAAGGAATGAGGGTCAGAAGGTTAGAGTAAAAAAACGAGGGTCAGAATATTGGGATCAAAAAATTAGGGTCAGAATATAAAAGTAAAAAAAGTGGGTGTCAGACAATGAGGATCATATAAGGGCTCAAAACGGTGGCCAAACATAATATATATTTAGACCCTCATTGCCTGACACCCACGTTTTTTACTTTTATATTTTGACGCTAATGTTTCGACCCTAATATTCTGACCCTCATTTTTTAACCTCCACTTTTTGACCCTTATATTCTGACACTTAGTGCCTGACCCTTATATAACACTTAAGAGGGCTTGCTACAACCCGGCCTGATACAAAAAATTCATCTTCGAATTGAAATACCCATCCCCCAATTGACTATAAAATATACTTGATTCAAGTTTAAAATATACTTGATACTTGATACTTGATTCAAGTATATTTTATACTCAGGAATTTATTATCAATTATGAGAGATTCCCGATTATGAAATTCAGTGAGTGCCAAATTATGAATTTTAAGGATTTGGTCACTAATTTTCAGTGACATCATCACTATTTTTCAGAGTTCCTGGCAATAGGTCCCTGAAAATCGAAACTGTTTCTCCTCTCCGATAATTTCTACGAAATTCCAGATAAATTTTACAGTTCTAGAAACTACCCCAACGTTTAGGAAATTTTCCAGTCGGGGGAGAAAAATTCACTGTTCGTCTCACATTTTTTCATTTCAGAAATAGATTCCCTTCCACGGTTACTTGATGTGTTCCGTAATTCTTTCCAACTTCTTTCTCCGTGTACCGTTCTCTAAAAGTGTATCATGAGTCATCTTATCTCATTTCTCTGCACAATAAACATTAACCTGATAATTATCGTAACACTGAATATTTCAATTATACACGAGAATGAAACTAAATTGATGAATTATCGAAGTTAAAGTTGAATAAATCGTTGGTTTATCAAATGTTGTAGTCAAAAAACTAAAGTCAAAATTCAACAATTAATTATAACAGAATATTTTCATTTCACATTACATCTCATTTCTCACGTCTTCTCGCTTGTGCGATATAAATAAAAAATATTGTCATACATAATGATATTTATCGTAATAAAAACAAAATTTCTCCAAGGAATAATAACATTTCATCGTCGTAAATCAGATTTTACTGTTGAACATTGAATTTTCGCCGAATTTCGGGATAGAAATGAGGGAATGACGTGTCCCACACTTTTATGCAGCGCCATCACAAGCATCACGAGATTCTGTTCAATAATTCTCAGGAATTTCCACTCCTCCAGGCAAACGAGTGCCAATATAAATGAGAAAACTTGCATCCCTCATAATTTCAGACGACTCTTAGCTGTTGGCATTTGGTAGTCTCTCGCACAATCGGGAATTCCGCCTCGACGAGTATGAATACCCCCACAGAAGCCAACGAGTATCGTCTTGCGACACGCGTGAGTATTCTCCCAACTGCTATTTTCATCCCTCTGTTTTTCCCTGCATTTCCCCCGCCCAACCCAGTTCTCGAGATATCTCCATATCTGTCCCCACTGCCTGCATCTCACATATACTCGACCTATTTTCGGTGAAAAATTTGCAAGCACGTTTTCGTCTAAAATTGGACATTTTTGTCGGTTTGCACAGCATTTCTACATGTGTATTCAGAGGGAGGAAGGAGGCTAAAGGGGATTCTGTTATGAAATAAACAAGATTGTTGACCATGAATACCAATGCGAGTTAAGCAGCACGGAAAGGAGCGTGACTATTACGACGGGAGGTTGGCTTTTGCGGTTACTTCAATATTTTTCTTTCAATTTGTATTTTTTTAACTTCATTTGCTCTCCGCCAGTTTAACCCTTGGACCGAATCTCTGGGGAGGAATTTACTTATTCATTACCCCGCGGGTCTATTAAACTGCGATACCGTTTCACAATCTTGTGAAACTAATTTACTTGTTTTAATTAAATTGATAACTCCACTTATCATGCCTTCAAATGATGACACTACTGTTAGTCTGGCAGTGCTTCGAGTATTTATTCCCATTAAATTGGCGTATCGATTCGAAATTAATGAGACAGAAACAATTGTTAGCGCAGATTTAATGATTTAGCCTCGATATAACTTCTGATAATGGTCTCGAAGACTGGAGTTTCGGTCTAAGGGTTAAAATAATTGTCTTTTAGAAACGATACAGATACCCTCCGTTATGCTTGAACTGCAGTAGCCGGGACAGTCGGCCGCGACGAGCGAGGCTCCGGGGATTGCCGCCCGCAGTGACTCTGCCAACACAACAACAATACTTCGCGTCACGAGTCTAATTCCTAGGCAGTTTCGATTTTTTTTAACTCTCTGCTTACGTCATGAGCACACAATTATCGTGTATTCAACGTTAATAGGGGAATCGAGTTGTTAGAGTCTCCCGTGGACGAGTGGTTTGTGCGGTCTCTGTCATGCATCACAACACGTCACAGACGCAGTCTACACTGAGAAAAAAATATAATTTTGTCAATCAAAAATTCTTTGGACAAGAATTTAAAGCTTTTGTGTGGAAATTTCTGTCATTTGGTTGTCTAAAGAATATTTGATCTGCAGAATTATATTTTTTTCTCAGCGTACCTCAAAAAGACATGATCCACATTATTATTCATTTAAACACATCAATTTATTGATTACTTTAGGTTATTTAATCCAAGTTTTCTCGTGTTTTTTTGTAAACATTATGAACATTCATGTTACACGCGTATGTAAACAATTTTTGGCTGCACGGAGAGAAATATTCAATAAAAATTACGTATTTTTTCCGTAATTCCGCAGCGAAATGTGGTTGTAGGAAATTTTACGGAACTATCACGGAATTTTTCCAGAGCGTTCCGTAATTTTTACCTGAATCCCCTGTGAAAAATTATAATACCGTCACGTAAATTTTCTGAGCCGATTCCGTAATCGGTGAGCGAACTGCGAGTTCCGTAATTTTTACTGAACATTTCTCTCCGCCTGAATAGACGTATGAAAAAATTCAATAGAAAACCTTAGTGAATTCGCTAGAAAATGCTATTGGAATTCTCTGGAAATTCTGTGGGGATTCTATTAAAATTCTGAAGAAGTCTCGCCGAAATTCTATTTGTTTTTTGCGCAAATTCCATTAGATATTTGATAGGAAAAAGCCAATAAATGTCGATTTTTCTGTTTGAATTTTTCTCTTGAGATTTTTTCTGTTAAAATTATTGGGCACGGATTTTCCAAGTTCTTTTCGCTATATTTTGTTAGGTTTTGCATTACAGGATTCGAGTGAAAAAAACTTGGAAAAATCCATGCTCAAGTATTTTTACAGAAAACATTCCAAGAGAATATTCATATAGAAAAATCGAAATCTATTTACTTTTTCCAAAACTGTTAAAAATTTTCGTCTGAATTTTCCGTGCCAATTTCCGGAAATTATTTTCGTGTTCAAGTTCCACTGAAATTTTAGGACATCTTGTCATTGAAAAATCAAATATTTAATTGATTTTCTGTTCAAATGATCTGGAAATAAAAAAAATACTTGATTTTTCAGTTCAATTACTCTGTGAAAATTCAGAAAAATCAGGAAAATTCAGGAAAAAATTGAATATTTATGTCATTTTGTTTCGGAATATTCATGTTCCACTGAAAATTCAATCAAGCTGTGAAATTTCCATCTCACTCCCACTGAAAACTCATGAATTTCCGTGAATTCTACTTAAAACTTGAAATTCGATAACCATTTTTTCCTTAAATCCGATTCAATGTCACTCTCATGAGATTTACTCTAATATCTTCCATGAAATTTTACAAAATTTCTAACAGTATATCAAATATCTCATAGAGCCGGCGCAAAAAACAAATAGAATTTTAACGAGAATTCCCTAGAATTTTCTAACGAATTCGCAAGTTTTTCTATTGAATTTTGTCACACATGTAAACATGTTATTTATAAAAAAAAGTGGTTTGCACAGTGATTTTAGTTGTCAATGGTAATAGACCCTCAAGATATATCGTTGAGAAATGTAGGTTTATGACGTGGGTGATCCCCGCTGGACAGAAAATGCCAGGCTTAATCAAGATAACTGGATTAATGCCTGGCAATCACAGGGACTCGGGGGATGAGGCTATACCGGATATGTACTTTCGTCGTCTCTTCCCCCTCCCCCCATTAGAGCGCGAAATATTCTCGGCAAGAGGATTGATGCAGGACTCTAGTTCATCTCGGCCATTCATGTGACTTTGAAGGGACTCGACCGGTGGATTTCATCATTTCAACGGTGTATTGATCGCACGAACAATTTCCATTTCATTTGTCCAGAGAGGATTCAATGCAGCATCAATCAATTTGAATTTTATGGATGAGTTTTAGGAGATTTCCAGGTGAATATTTTTTAGACTCGTTTATGGCGCAATATATTTCTGAGGATTTTCAGGCGTGAGCCGGGGAAATCAACACTTTTGACTTGTTCGAATGTTTATGGATCGTAAACAAATTCGTGGGGAATTGCTTTTCTATTGAAGAGAGCGTTATCTCAATTTTACCGAGAATATGATAGAAAATATCGTAAATTGTTAGAAGCTTTTGGAAATTTAAGGCAAAGAAGGATTACGAATTTGAGTTTGAATTCGATTTAGAATGAAAAATCGTTGGTATATATATTCTTCTATTCATCTGGGAAATTTAGGAAGTTGTGTTTTTCGTGTTGACTGATCTTTGAAATTGCAAGGAAAGCGTGAAATTTCGAAACTTATTGTTAAGGGTGAACATTTTTTTCATTTCTTTCAATTACATTTGCCCATTACTAATTTTTATGATGATTAAGGTCATTTCAATTAGTATTAGTTCAAATCGACTTAGCCCTTCGCCGAGTTTTCGAGAAATATCTCCGAATCAAACAGAGATATCGAAATTTTTGTAATAGTTTTTTTTGTAGAGCGAATTCATCGAAAACTTTGCTATGTCCCTTAGACTTCGAGATATTCATTGTGAACTGGCCAACAGTCAAATTCAACTTGAACCGTTTTACCCTTTCGCTACTGAATTGTGGATAGATTTCTAAAAATCAGTGACACGTCCCTTAAACTCAGAGACACATTCCTGAAATAAAAAAAATTCTCTGAATCTCATGAAGTTCACAACCAACGCCAATGATTTTCGAATAGTTTTTCAGACTGCACCACTGTGAGAGACTCATAACAATCGATTCCCTCACCCCAATAAACATCCACCCCCAAAACTCACTAAAAATAAATTCAGTTTCAAATTAAACTGTCACGTGTAGTCTGAACATTTTTCATTGACTCACTCGGCGTTGGTCTCAGGCGTCGGTAGATCCCCAATAGTAGTAAGTGTCAACGTGGACCAGTAAAGCGATCCCAGGTACTTCCTAGCGAGTGTTGCATATTCACCCGGTCTGTACGGATACACCCAGTCCCCCTGGAAGCCCTCCGCCTCACTCAGCAGATAATAAAAACATCCAAACCAGTGTGCAAGTATCAGAAGTATGTGTATCAAATTCAACACACGCCACAAATTCGGATAAACTGTTCTCGACTCCACCATGTAGTAATAATTATAAACCCGATAAACCTTGAGAAAACGTGGAAATCTGAGCATAGGATTGCTGCCCAGATTGACTTGCAGTAGATCGAGTGGTAGTAGTGCCAATAGATCGAGAATAAATGACTTTGATTTGAGGTAGTGACCAGCTAATTTTTTGTTGTTGTAAACCATGAGTCCTTGCTCAAGATAACCAGTTCTAAATTGCACACCAACATCGAGGAAAAATATGAGATCGGTGAAGCCGTCGCAGGCCAACCAGGCAGCTGGTGCCATTGCCTGCAATTCCGGAAGACTCTGTCGCACAATTAATGTCCAAAGATTATGAAGTACACAGGCAGAGAGCAGCATAAGCCAGTAGTAATAAAAGTTCTCGTCTGGATTAACAACTGTCTTCGGTGGTCTTTGTGGTTTCCTCGGTCTACGTCGTCTCCTTGATGAATCTTTATCGTCCGCAGTATCGCCCTCACCCTCGCCAGTATCAAGTGTCTCTTGGCTCTCCGGTATTTGTCTCGTTGAGAATCTCTTCAGGAAGGAATCCTCACGCTTCAACGGCGGCTTCTTCTGAATTGTTGATATTGCCGAAGACAGTTGGACGGTTGTGCGGAGTTTCATCCATCGCTGGTTGCTCTTTGTTCTGGAAAATTAAATAAAACATTGAGCAGGTGCACGGAATTGCGGGTGTTATGCGACAAATGGCTGGATTTTAGTTATGAAATAACCAAACGTTCAAGTTGTTTGGAAATAGGGGGAGGAAGTATTTTATTTTTATTACAAAAGTGGAGATCGCTTGTGGCTATGGTGAGGGGGAGTCGCCGAGACAATCCCGATGGAGACGCATATTTTCCCCTTCATCCTGTGAGGTTCAACGTGGGGACGATAGCCTTTGGGGTTAGTCTCATTCCTCTGAATGATCACTCAAAGCTCGTGAGTGTGCGTTCAGTTCAAAGAATATGGTAAAGTAACATTTTCAACAGTTGTGCACACAGTTTCCTTTTTTTTCATTATCGTTCTAATATTGACGTTCGTATCGAATAGAGACACAGACAGACGGACACCAAAGTAATAAGTGAGACAGTGCGAGATAGAATAAGACACAGATAGACAGTGAGATAAATGATAGATTATGCTAGATTACATTCTCATGTAAGAGCCCAGTTAGTTATCGTTTTGGTCAGTTTTTTTTTAATGATAAGTCATCAGCAACTTGCAGTCTAGGTTTCCATTAATACATAGAGGAGTTTGTGGGAGTGTCAAGACATGTGTACAAGGCAATGTGGAGATTCCTCGGTGGTACATGGTTACCGGATGTTAATCTAAGTCAACTACCAGATAAAACTAGGCATACGCTGCTAAACAATGTCATAACACTTTCTATGGAACTAATAGTCGTCAATCCAGGAGATTACACACGAGACGTTTATAGAAACCAGAGGGGAAGAACGTTCATATGCATTGGAGAGTCAACTAGGGATTGGTGGTGACTTCCGTGGACCTTGCATGCACATTTCACCAGTTGTTGAGTTATTCACGTGTGGGATTACGTTTTTTTTTCGGTTTCATTTTGAAAATAGAACAGGAGAAGAACAGCGATTATGGAGAGTATGAAAATATAGTGGTTAGTCAATAATTTTTTGTGCCCATTCTCCGTGAATAGTGTCACGAATAATGGGTAAGGAGGAAGTGACAGAGGTTGAAAGGATTTTGTTTAAATCAAATACTAATGTCATATTGATGTTGCTGATATTTCTGGAATGGCTAGATTGGTGATATTACTGGGATACCTCTTGATTTTTCGAAGTGAGGAATACAGTGCCATGACTGCGCGCACGTTACTCCACTTTTGGGAGCCCCTGGAACTACGTGGACGTCTAGCGGATTCTGGTAATTGTTGGTCGGGTGCATTGCTGTCGATAGAGTCCAATGAGATGTTTGAATCACCATCGTCATCACCAAGCCCGTTGCTGAAGGACTTCCTCAGTGATGCGCGTCGATGTAGCCGAACACTTGGTCCCGGTGATGACCTGAAGAAGACAAGACGACAACCTGCCCTTTCCCTCATCCGTTTTTTTTTCTCGGTTTTATGGAACAAAGGTCTCGGTTATTTTTGGATTGACTTTGCGGGGGCCCTCAGCCTTACGGAAACGATCTCTTTACCCACTGTCTCTGTGTCTGTCTGAGTCTCTGTATCTGGGGGGGCTATTGCTTGCTTGATATTTCGGGGACGGTGAGCTGGTGATACCCGAGGATTTTCGAGGGAAGCTATTTACGGCGTCGGTTATCGACTGCTGGTGAATTATTTGGGTTGGGGATAATTCGATCATAGCGTCGGCCAGCCATTGGGTTATCCCCTGTCTACACTCGGGGGCCAGGAAATCTACCTGACGCCTACGTCTTGAAATATTAAAGACTCGTTTTGGTGGGGCTTGGGGGAAAGGCCGAGAGGGCAATTCTTGTTTCGAGTAACACTGGTAAAAATTTTGCGGGGAAATTTTCGGCCGCGGCAAGTGACGGTGTTTGAAAATGAATATGTTGATGGAAAAATTAATGGAAACTGCACTTTTATCAATTTTTGGCTGAATTTTCCATTTGAAATTTTGGAAATTTTTATTGTGGTTAATTTCCGCTAGTATTTTGGGAAATCTTGTCATTGAAAAATCAAGTATTCTGTTGATTTTCTATTCAAATTATCAGAAAATGGATAGAATACTCGATTTTTCAGTTCAATTATTCCGTGGAAATTCGGAAAATTCAGGAAAAATTGAAAGTTCATGTCATTTGGTTTCTGAATTTTTCTGTTCCATAGAAAATTCAACCCAGTTGCCAAATTTCCGGCTCACTCTTACTGAAAACTCATGAATTTCTTTGAACTTTATCTAAAAATTGAATTTTAGAAACATTATTCCCCTAAATCGGATTCAATGTCACTCTCATTAGAATTACTACCATATTTTCTATGAAAGTTTCTAAAAATTTCTAACAGTGTGTGAATTCCAGCTCAATTAGTCCAGGGAATTCATAAAAATCTTCAACATTCAGGTGAACGTATTCTTGAATTTTCATTTATGTTCACAGAAAAACAACACGTTTTGATTTTCAGGAACCCTTCACCGATTTTTAGTCATCCATCCCTCATGAAATTCAACGCGTGAAAGATTCTGGGATTTTCTCACTAATTTTCAGGGACCCATTTCCAATTTTTTGGAACCTATCACCAAATTTCAGTGATAGAAATGACCGATAGTCAGGCTAATTCTAGTTAGTGTCCAATATCACCAATAATTGGTGGTAGATTCGTAAAAATCAGTGACATGTTCCTGAAAATCAAAATTTTTTTCTCTGTATCCAAATTCCCCATAATTTGACAGACAATATTAATGTTTCCGTAACGAATTCCTATTCAAAACTGATATTGAATTTGATTTAAAAGGAAAAACTCATGACATTCCAATTTCCAGGTAGAATTCAAGTGATTCATACATATCAAGTAATAAGACAGAAAATTTTCCAACTTACTTGAATGTTCATCGGAACATTCCAAATTTTTTCCGTTTTTCTCCGAATAATTTTTTTTTTATCGTTATTTTTACATCGCTTCGAATCGGTTAGGGAATACCGCGATGATGATCAAGACTTTAAATGGTTAAAGTTACCCATTGCGCCAAGCCACCGGGATTCTCCGAATAATTGAAATTAAATTTATCATTTTCACGATTTCACTCATAATTTCATGATAAAATCAATGAAAACTGTAGATTCTAAGTAGACTAGTAGACTTAGTAAATATAGTCTTCAATTTTCAATCAATTCAGAATTTAACTCAATTTGATACTGAAACTTGATATTTAATTGAACATTTTAGGAGAAAGTGGTGAAATTTCCGTCTCATGTCCTCTTGAAACTATTTTGATTCACTTGAAACTTGAAATTTCACGAATTTTTGTCCCTAAATCCAATTTAATCCCACTCCTAAGAAAAAACTACAGAGCCGTCCATGAAATGCAAATCGCTTTTCAACATGCGACTAAACCCCAAATAATTTTCATGATTAATAATTCATCCAAAGAAGAAAGTCTCCTGTTATATCACTGTTAGAAATTTTACGAAATTTCAACGATTTTCCTTTGAACTTTCAAGAAATAACGATTAATAAACATTTTTCACAAACAATCAATAATAACTAATAAATAATAAATAAAATAAAACCATTCTTATTAATAAATAAATAAATAATAAATAATCTAATAAATAAATAAAAATGAACAATAATTTTTAACAGTGTTCTTCTCAAAATCTCGTTACTGGCCAATGGCCCTTGAATAAAAATCAATTTCCCCAATCTAAGAAAATTGTCCTCTCCCCGACCTTTTCCCTCCAATCATAATCCTAATGGATTTCACCCGGAGTTGACTCGCTCTCTAGATCACAAAAGTTGTGGACAGAAACGATTAAAGCCCTAGATTTCGCAATTCATCCAGTTTCACACCCGGCTATTTCATACAACACAGACGAATACTAGAAGCCTATGAAGTCCCATTGAGTCCCTCTCTCCCCAGCTCTTTCAACTCTTTACGCCAGTTTCTCCCGAATACTCCAAAAGCACTTGCTGTCTCTCCTAGAATAACCCCAGGGATTTTCCTTTTTCATCATTTTTTTATCTCCCATTTTTTCAACACAAAAAGCAAAAGCCCCCGAATTCAATTGACAAGGTACACTTGAGTGTCATTCACTGTCATTCGATCATACGAAAGAATGTTTTTACACCCTGAAAATCGATATTTTCGCTCCGGCACTATTCACTGCGGATTGAAGTGCCGAGCTCTGGCACTGAACGTTATGTCTACCTGAGAAAGCAAATTGATATTTGTTTTTCGGTGAGTTTGCGAAAATTCATGGGTTACTTCGTACGCTCTGTGAAGTTGGGTTAACCCAGTTTTTCCAACGATATTTGCAATTCCAAGGGGTTTACAGTTTGAATAAAACTTCTCTCTCCCATTTGTGTCGTAAATATTCCCTAAATATAAAACAAAGTTTATTTCATTTTCTCAGTCAGAGGTTTTTAGTATTTTTAGTGGTGAAACTCTTTTTAGAGAATAATGAGAGGAGCTGAATGCCAACTGACGTCGGAGCTATTTCAGTTACATCTACTTAGTCTCCTTCATTGGATTGTGATGTTCGAGTGGGACAGTACTTGTACTGAAATAGGTTCCCGAAAAATTATCTCTTTGGGTTTCAGTGAATTCAGATGGATTATTAGTGTTATTAATTAATATTAGATTTTTCAATTATGGTATTGAATGAATCAATCAATTATTTCAAACAGTATTTTCTTTAATTGAATTACTTGAGTACTATTAAAATAACGAATCAAATCAAGCATGAATGTATTCAATAGAAAACCTAGCAAATTCGCTAGTTTTTCTACTGGATTTTTCCATACCTGATAAAACAACTCATTTGGAATTTTTCTATCCATTTTGATTAAATAAAGTATTCATTAATTCTAAATAATCTCGCTATTCGAATCGAATAATAAATTGTTTCTCTTCACTCTGCGCAGTAATTCAATTTCCAACAGATAAAACATTTTATCACCAAATTTCTCACTTCAAAACAGCAATTATTCACGAATATTTA